ATGGCTGAACAAGTTGTGGTATATGAATGTAATGGAATACTATTGTGCTATAAGAAATGATGAACAGACTGACTTCAGAAAAACTTGGAAAGACTTGTATGCTCTGATGCTGAGTGAAATGAGCAGAACCAGGAGAACATTTTACATAGTAACAGTCACATTGTGTGATGACTAATATTGATAGACTTAACGCTTCTTAGCAACACAAAGATCTAAGATGTCTTCAAAGGCCTCATGATGGAAAATGCTATCCACATCGAAAGAAAGAACTATGGAGTTTGAATGTACATCAAAGCATACTATTTGTTCTTTTTTTTCCCCTTCTGTTGTGTTCTGTTTCCTCTTTATGGTGGTTCCTCCTATTGGTTCTAATTCTTACTTACAACATCATTAATGTGAAAATATGTTTAATGGGAATGTATATGTATAGCCTATATCAGATTGCACACCTTCTTGGGGAGGGAGGGAGGGGGAGAAAAATTTTAAAACTCAAAAGTTTGTGGAAGTGATTGTTGATAATTCAAAATAAATTAATTTTAAAAATAAAAATAAACAAAAACAAAAACAAAAAAACAAATAGGTTCTTTTCCCTTTTTCAGATTTCTTTGGGATACAGACCTAACAGTGGTATTGCTGGATCAAAGGGTATGTACAGTTTTGTAGCCCTTTTGGCATAGCTCCAAATTGAATAGCAAGATTCTTAATGAGTTTCTCAGGACTATCATTTTGAGAGAGACAGACAGACAGAAAAAGTGCGTCTCTTCATAAATAACTAAGGGATGTTTTAGACATAGGACCTTACATATGGAAAGGTCATGTAGTCATTTTACAGATTAGGAAACTAAGACCAAGATAAATTAAATAACTAGCTCAGGGTCACATAGTTCCCCAGGTCTTCTTTTTTCTTATTCAGCCTTTCCCATTATTCCACACACTATGTCTAAGTCAGGAATGAATGGTATTATAGATTTAGAGCTGGAAGTGACCTGAGAGGCCATCAAATGAGGAAACTAAGACCCAGGTCATTCAGGCAAAAATCATCATAGATGGTATTTGAACCAAAGTCCTTTGATTCTAAAACCTGTCTTCTTTCCACCATACTAAATGCATTTTGGTTCAGTCATCTTTTTAACCATGTCCAATTCTTCATGACTCTATTTTTGGGATTTTCTTGGCAAAGATACCAGAGTGGTTTGCCATTTTCTTCTCTAGCTCATTTCACAGATGAAACTGAGGCAAACAGGATTAAATGAGTTGCCCAGCTAGTAAGTGTCTGAGGCCAGATTTGAACTCAGGAAGATGAGTCTTCCCTGATTGTAGACCTGACACTCTATCCACCTAGCTGCCCAACAAATGCATTAGACAGTTATAAAACAAAGTCTTTTCTCTCCTGCCACATGTTATTAGAGTAACAAGTCATTTAATCTCTCTGGACTTCAGTTTGCTCACCTGTAAAATGAGGATGAGAGGCATCGAGGTATAGTGGATTAAGAGCTGGCCTTGGAGTCAGAGGGACTTGGGTTCAAGTCAGACTGCTGACACATACATAGCTATGTATCACTAGGCAAGTCACTTAACTTCTCAGTGGCCCAGGCACATCTCTAAGACTATAAATTGCATAGGTGGTGCTGATCTTCATCAGAAGAAATTTTTTACCAAGAGCTTTCTACACTGATAAAATCACAGGTAAAAATTTTTTAAATTGAAATGGGGATAATAATGCTTTCATTACTTATCTTCAAAACCTCTGCCGCTGTCTAATCATGGAACTTCACTTAGCACCTGGGGGCCTTCCCCCTAGAACATCCAATCATCCCTGCAGACTTCTTAAGCTGGAATAGCCCTCTGTAAGACTCACCTCCTTCTTTCATCGATGAGTTTTTTCCTGGGGCCTCCATTTTGTGGAGGGGCCCCTGGAACACCTTCATTTTCCCCCAGACTCCATTCTGGCTTCCATACTTCAAAACCATGCTCCAGTGGTAGGTCCTGTTGTCCCCCTTCACTCTCTTTCCTTCTCTCTTTTGTGCATTGACTTCCACCGTTAGAATGTAAGCCCCTCAAGGACAAGGACTGTCATTCTCTTTGTTTATATTTGTACCTCCATGTGCGCAGTGCCTGGCACACAGCAAATACTTAATAAATCCTTCCTTCCTTTTTCCACTTTACCTTAGATGATGTCTGAGGTCTTTTCAGTTCTAAGAGTGTATAAGATTCCAACATCACATTGTATCATGAGTCAAACCCAAACTGAAAAGACATAATATTGATTTTTATGCTAAGGGCTAACTCCCTCAGAAAAATATAATAAATTATTCTGTGCCAGGAATGGAAATAATTTCCAGATGCAGATGATCTTTCATTTTAACTAGTCAACACACAGTTTTAAACCCCTCAATCTTACAATGTATCCAAATGATCCAAATTGCAAGTTGAATGAGAAAGTGAGGATACTAGTGAGGCTTGGATGCCTGATATACAAGTCTGAGTTCAGTTCTGTTGATTTCAACTAATTTTATGCATGTTAAATTTAGCATGCATTATGTCATCACTCATAAGAAATGCCTATTCTTTCTAAAAATGATTTGTAAGCATCGACTTTCAACTTCTATTGTTATTAGTCTTCGAAGTTCTACACGCTAGTTAATTTCATTATCTTCAATAGAAGGTTTTAAGTAAATGTAGTTAAGAGTAACCAAGATTTCTGGAAGGAAAAAAGCCTGTGTGCACCTTTGACTTTTATCTGGTGCCATTTGAATTTAGCTTAGCAGTTTTCTTAGCAACCTGCATCAATTTTAAAGGCCTGCCCCTGTGTTTAATGAAAGAAATAACACTATACAAATGTCAGCTATTATTTCATTCAATGAGTTCTATCAGGTAGATGTTGGGGAGCAGAAGGAAGAGCTGCACCTTCACACTTCTCAACTTGGAAGTCTGTCCATTGTTTCACAACCTCATTTCACAACCTACATAAACTTCCAACTTCAATTTCTTTTTTCAAATAAATTTTTTATTCTTTTTCCTCCACCTTGGAGCCGGGGAGGCCTGCCGGAAACAGGACTTCTAGAACAGCATAATGTCTGGAAGACTGTGGTCCAAGGCCATTTTTGCTGGTTACGAGCGAGGCCTACGAAACCAGAGGGAACATACAGCTCTTCTGAAAATTGAAGGAGTCTATGCTCGGGATGAAACTGAATTCTATTTGGGCAAGAGATGTGCTTATGTATACAAAGCCAAAAACAACACAGTGACTCCTGGTGGGAAACCAAACAGAACAAGAGTTATCTGGGGAAAAGTTACTCGAGCTCATGGAAATAGTGGAATGGTTCAAGCCAAGTTCAGAAGCAATCGTCCTGCCAAGGCCATTGGACACAGGATCCGAGTGATGCTCTATTCCTCAAGGATCTAGAATGTGAAAACTGACTAAATAAAATTACACATTTTTTGCAAAAAAAAAATTTTTTTATTGATCTCTTTGGTTGTTGTTACTGTTGTTGTTTTTACATCACCAAAATTTCCCCTGGTATTTCTCTCCTGACCTTTCCCAGAAAATCATCCCTAGAACAAACAGTTTTTCAAATTCAATTTCAAGTTGTATTGGAAACCAGATTGACTTTTTATGATTTATATGTATTTTGGTACAGTCTTTGATAACTTGCTGATTTCCAGAATATCTTGCAAGAACTGCAACCAGTTATAGCTAGCTCAAGTGATTCAGTGGTTCCAGCTTTAATAGCTTATAACTACACTAAGACTTTTGGGACTCAGTTTGGCATCTAAAGCTCTTTACAACTTGGCCCCTTCCTACCTTTTCAGTCTTCTTACACTTTATCGCAGTCTATGGTATAGCTACATTGGCCCATTTGCTGTTCCTCAAGCATGACACTCTATCTCTGGTCTCTGTTTTTGCTCCGATTGTCCCCCATTCCTGGAATGCTCGCCCTCCTCACCTCTGCCTCTGACTTTCCTGGGTGTCTGTCAAGATTCAGCTCAAATCCTGCATTCTGCAGGCAGCCTTTCCCAGTTTCTTCCCCTGCCTTACCTCTTAAGATTACCTTCTGTCTGCTTTGAATACATGTATTAAGTTCACATATATTTTATATGTACCTAGTTACTTAAATCTTGTCTTCTCCATTAGAAAATAAATTCCTTGAGGATAATCAATGCTTTGGACTTTCTATCTATCTTCAGTACTTAGTAGCATGCAAGGCATGTATAGTAAGTACTCAAATGCCTCTTGACTGGCTGACTGACTGAAGATCATGGAAGGTACATAACAAAACAGGGCAGAGATTTATACCTCAATCCAAACTAAGGTTTTTCTCTTTTTTTCTCTAGCTGGGCACTGAGGAGGAAGAGAGTTTTGATCTGGTTTTGATATTCTCAGTAATTCTTAGAAGCTTGTAATAGCAGAACTAGGTAAAACACAAGACTTAGGACCATTTACCCTAGGCTATGGAGTCAGGTCTCAGGTGGCTTAGAGTGGTAGGCATTTCAGTAAAGTTTTTGGCCTTAGAGTTGAAAGGCAGAGTAGAGGCATGGACCAAAGGAATATCAACCCCCATGGACCCTGCCTGTGGTGGGAGGAGGAAATGTGATCTATGGGGCAACCCCCACGCTCTTCAAATGATAAAGGAGGAAGCTAACTATCATATGTATGTATACATGTGTATATATATATATATATATATACATATATATGTATATATATATACACACACATGTATATATGTATATATGTGTGTATATATGTGTGTGTATATATATATATACATATACACACACATATATGTATGTGTATACACACATACACACACACACACATACATATATATTTGGACAACTCACTAGCTGTGTGATCCTGGGCAAGTCTCTTAACCCCAATTGCCTCACCAAAAAAAAAAAAGCCCCAAAACAAAAACAAAACAAAACAAAACAAAAAAAGATTTCTGCTTCTTTGTTACATGCAGTGAAAACCTGTCTTTTGATTTCTCCCTTTTTCTATGGGATATGTTGCTTAGTCTCTGTATCATGGCCCTGCACCAATGATCTATTATTTTCTGCTGCAAACAATGGAGCTTATTGGATTTGAAGGGTTTGCTGTTGTTCTTTCCCCAGTACTTCTAATGATCAGTCCCTTTCAGAGACTGGTTACCAAGAAATGGGTGCTAGCCCTGCTGAAGATGGTTACAGTTGGTAAGTTTAAGTGATGCAACTTACTTTTTAAAAAATCAAATGAAAAATTCAAATTGATTTTGAAATGTGAATGCTTGAAAAAGTAAGTGAAGGAACTCTCTGTCTCATTCTACTTTCATATAGAATAAATACAAAGAAGATTGGACCAGGCATAAAAGTTTTTAAAATTTTAAAAACATTTCTGCAAAGTAAATAACTCCAGAATCTGAACGCAAGTGATGGTTGTGTAAGTGAAGATAAGGGGACTGGTGAATGAAATGCTATAGAGGTAGAAGAAATAAGACTTGACAACAGATTGTGTATTGGAGGTGGTGAGGAAAAGCAAAGAGCCAAGGATGGTTGACCTTGAGTTTCCTGATCTGTAAAAAAGATAGCCATGGCATAGTGGATAGAGTACTGGAATAGGAGTTGAAAAGTCTGAGGTTGAAATCCTGCCTCTGACCCCCCACTAGCTGTATGACCTGGGTAAGGTGCATCACCCTTCTGAGCCCCAGTTTCTTTACATGTAAAATGAGGTGGGTCATTAGATGATCTCTGAAGTCCTTTCTGGAAGTGAAATTAAGCACGTGAAAATGCATTGCAAAATGTGAAGCATTATACAAAAATAACCAAATAACCAAATATGATAATAATGTATAATATAAATAATAATAAATATAAAAATTATTTTAAAAATAAATCAAATAAGCAAAAATAATTCAGGGCTTCTAAAGCATTCTGGGTTCACGTTGATCCCAGGGGGCTTGACTCCAAAGATCTGCAAATCTCTCTTCCTTCGGCTTTTTGTCCTCTTCTGGATTAATCCAGGAATGTCTTCAAGATAAAACTTAGTTACAGGGTTTCCCTTTAATGTTGGTAACTAGATCCCTGACCACCAAGCTACTTGCTGGGCAATATGGGTATCAGGTCAGGAGTGGGGAAACTGTTGAGGCCACATGTGGCCTTCTAGGTCCTCGGGTATGGCTTTTTGACTGAGTCCAAACTTTGTAGAATAAAAGGATTTGTTCTGTAAAAGTTAGACTCAGTCAAAAGGCCTCACCCGAGGACCTAGAAGGCCACATGTGGCCTCAAGACCACAGGTTCCTCACCCCTGGTATCAGGTAAAGGACAGCTATTATTTTCTTCCACCACAGAAACTTCATTAGATGCAAAGGACCCACAGGTACATAAGAACAAATACAAGAAACAGAAAACACTCCAATAATGCATTACACTTATTATATGCCCCCTGGAAGGTAAAGAGTCTTTGTGTGACTTCCAAGCAGATATTTCACACTTTCCTAGGACCTGTGCTCTCTGAGTAACTCACAATGTCCAGATCTCCTGGCCAGCCGGGGTATGATATTCTTTAGTCCTTCAGGAGCTGGCTGACCCTGGTAGTGGTCCTCTTCTCCTATGCTGGGATCCTGACTTCTGTAATTCCAAATACTCAGGAAGCACCAAGGCTAGAAGCTTTTATTTCCCAGGGGCATCAGTTCCCTGATTCAAGGGCTATAGGTCCAGTCCTACTATAAGCTGCCATTTCTATTGGGTAGTTTGGGAAAAGGGAAGAGAAATTTCCCCACCCAATCCAAGGGAAAGAAAATACTAGAAAAGGGTCTCAAGGTAGAGGAGTCTCCCAAGAGAAGGGTCCCTAACTCTTAAAGGCTTTGAAGGTGGAAGTGTCCTCCAACAACATCTGTACCCCCAAATCAGTCCCTAATCATCTTAGAAAGGTGCACACCCTTTGGCAAGGGACCAAAGGTCACAACTAGCTCCTCAGAAATGTTCCAGGCTAATAAAGATCCACATTCTGTAATTACACCAAGTGGATTGGGGGAATCTGTAAAACCAAGCAGGGGTAACAAAAAATGCCATTATTATTTTCATAAAATGAGGTAATTAATATTGGGATCATAGATCTAGCATTGGAAGGGACATCAGAAGCCATTTAATCTAAACCTTCACTTTACAGGTGAGACGAGTGAGTCCCAGGGAAGTTAAGTGATTTGTGCATGGTCACATGCCTTTGGCATCATTTAAGAGAAGGGCTGGCTCCAGAACCAGAGTTTCAAATCCATCTTCAAACACTTAGCAGCTGGGTAACTCTGGCAAGTCACTTACCCGCTCCCTGCCTCAGTTTCTTCAGCTGTAAAATGGGGATGATAATAACCCCTGCCTCCTGGAGTTGTTGTGAGGGTCAAATGAGAGAATAATTGTAAAGCCCTTAGCACAGTGCCTGGCACTTTGTAAATGCTTGTTTCCTTCTCTACCATACTATCTGCCAGCTGGACATGTTTATTATTATCATAGAACTCTAATGGGAACTAATACTTAGTTGCCTGTGTGAAAATGCTGAGTAACCAAATAACATTGCTGTACATCATCTTGAAGCTGCCTCTAGGTAGTGTGGTGTATAGTGTGATGAGCCTGGGATCAGGAAGACCTGAGTTCAAATGCAGCCTCAGGCACTTATTAGCTGTGTGACCCTGAGGAAGTCACTTAACCTGTTTGCCTCAGTTTCCTCATCTGCACATTGAGGATGATGATAATAATAACACCTAAGTCTGGGTTGTTGTGAGGATCAAATGAGATGATAATTGTAAAGCACTTAGCATAGTGTTGGGCACATTCTGAGCACTATATAACTGTTAGCTATTATCATTATTATTAACTGAATTCAGACCCCAGTTTTCTACTCACCTCACAAGAAAGGGCATGAAGAAGATTCTGTCCCAGCCACATATTATGGAGTCTTCCAACATACTTTGTGTTTATTTTTAGTTATTTCAGAATCTGAGGATTCATTTTAGGAAAAATGCTTCTTCTTGTTCTTCAGATACAGTACATTTCATTAAACCCAATCTGGAGCTGTCAGGCTGCCAACAAGGTAACATTGACGTTAAGTTTCATAGCAACACTTGATGATTATGCAGGTAAGTGTGAGCCTAATCTGCCTGGGTATTTATTTTCCTCTCTTGCATATTGCTCACCCTTTATTCCTCTACCCAAAACACCTCACTTTCAGGAGAAAATCTAGACAAACATTTTCTTTGGGCTTTTCCTCTTCTTTCCTCCCACCCCTTGCCACTACCACACACATAGCCCCTAGTCCCCCAGCCTTCTCTCTCTCTCTCTCTCTTTCTCCTCCTTTCTCTCCTTCCCTGTCCTTCTCCCCTTCTCTCTCTCTTCTCTCTTCCCTCTGTCTCTGTCTGTCTCTCTGTCTCTGTCTGTCTGTCTGCCTCTCTCTCTCTCTGTGCTTTGAAATAGCTATAGCTCCTGGGGCTGCTGGTAGAAGTTTCCATGAGCAGAAGGCCCACTGTCTTTGCCAGGATGGATAGAGGTTTAAAATTAAAGAGTAATCTCTTGCTTATTTGTTTGGGGTAGGGGAAGAGAAGAACTACCCACTACACAGTCCTCAGTGCTCCAAATTCTCCCTCCTTCTTATTCTTGGACTGAGTTTTCTGAGCTGTAGTTGCTGTCCTGCCTCTCATACTAGGCAGAATTCATAGGTAATGAGCTACAATTGTGCCAACTGCTTGGCCCTCTCTCTATGAGTCAAAAATGCTAACATCCCAAATACGAAACTTAAAAAGAAAGGAAATCCTAAATTTAAATACTACCTCTCATAATTTTGTAAACCACCTCTCTTGCTTTCAAACAGACATTTTTTTCCCCTCTCCACCAATAGTTTTTTCATTTTGCTGCATCATGGACCTTTTTGGGAGTCTGGTGAAATCTATGGACTCCTTCTCAGATAAACAATGGAAGGAAATCCCAAAATTCAGTTAAAGGTTAGTGAAAATAAAGTTGTAATTTTCCCCCCTCCTGAAATCTGAACATGCACTATTGGGTCTATTGATCCTAGGTTACGAACTCTCATTCTAGAGTAACTTGATTAATTGTTAAAAGAAGGGCAAAATGTCAGTAGAGTCGATGATAAATTTAGAGCTGGAAGAGACCCTGGAGGCTGATTAATCCAGGCTCTCCTTTACATCAAAGAAACTACTGCCCTTAAAGGTACAGTGACTTGCCCAGGGTCACATAGGCATTAAGTTGTAAATTTGAGATATAAACCCAGGTCTTCTGACTCCCTCTCTGTTTTCATTATATTATTCTGCCTTCCTAATTGACTTTTCCACTGGATTGCTCTCTAACTCTTTTTTTTTTTTTGGCCAAAGATAAGGTTCATTAGAGAACAGCCATATTGCAGTGGCTAGATTTTAAGAATCTGAGCTATTGGCTAGATTTTAAGAATATGAGCACCTTAACAGAAACAAGATGGACCTTATACACAGAAAGACTGTGGGAGGGATCTAGGAGTGGTCAAGTAGTTTGGGGTGACTGGAGGAGAGATCTAAGGAGGATCTGGATGGGAGTGGCCAGGAAACTGGGGTGAACAGAACACCAGGGACCTGGACCAAGTGGTCAAGGGAGAATGGAGTCTAGATAGGATTAAGGGTGGGAAGTGGCCAGAGGCAATCAGGAAGTAACAGAACAGTATTGAGAGATTGGGCATAGCCACAATGAAAGGCCAGTTGGTAGGATTATAGCCTCAGTTGAAAGCCAGGGATTTGGCCAGGTGGGAAAGTCCAGGGTTTTCCTTTTTGGGGTCCAGATCCCAAAGACATGGTCTTTTCCTTTTAGGGGTTCAGATCCCATCTCCATCATTCTCCCACCTTAAACAAAGGGGACCCAAATTCTTTTGGGGCAAGGGACAAAGGTCTTAGCTTCTGAAACTGCTTTCTGCTGACAAGGGGCATAGAGCTGTCCCTGCCTCAAAGGGATCCCAAAGAGGTTGATTGGAACTGAGCACAGGCTGCATCCAGGGGATGATGTGGGGGACATTGGCTGGTACCCATTGTTTGCTACCAGATGTAGGTGAATGGCTAGCTTCTTTACCTTGAGCAGGATGTGCTGAACCCAGGTGATGCTTCCAGGCAAAGGTTGCCCCAGGGCCCACCGCCATTGCCAGTGGGGCCCATGCTACAGAGGGTGACTTCAGAGGTGGAGGGTGGGGAAAGGTGAAACTCTTTTCTCCTATGAGAGGGGTTAACAAATATGCTCTTGACTCAAGGGAAGGGAGTGGGAGAAAGGAGTGACCAAGGTTGTAAGGAGGTGTTTCAAAACTCCTTAATGATCAATCACAAAACTTCCAGAATCTGCTAAGATGTTTTCAGCTGTTCTAATGTTTCCCTGTAACCTCCATGAAGGAGGATTCAGGGGTGTAGAGGGCAGGGATTAAGTAAGCCTCAGGGAACCAAAAAACACCTGCAGTTTTCCCAGTTCTCTAGCACCTAGAGAATTGACAGAATGAAGCATACGCTTCCAGATAGGGCATCTGCCCTTGTTCTCTATGCTGTGGAAGTTGTACCCAGGTTCATATCTTTGAACCAAACCAGTGGACTGAGAGCCTGAGAGCATCAGGCCAAGTGGGAGAGAGCCTCATAACTGTTTACCCAAAAAGCACCTCCAAGCCTTGCTAGATGCCTGGAGAGTGACCCCAGCTGCAGGGCAAGAAAGAAGTTGGGGAGGCTTACATACCTTCCAGTCTTGGCTGGAGAAGAACTTGAGGTTAGGCAGCTCCCCTGTATGGGCCACCAAAATGTTGAGGATTAGGGGTGCTAGGACCCCAAAATATTGAGAGTGTACAGGTCCTGCCTGAATGAATTTGACCCAAGCCTTCTTTCAGCTAAAGACAAGGTTTATTAGAGATCAGCCATATTGCAATGTAGGTTTTAAGAATCTGAGCTATTGACTAGATTATAAGAACCTGAGTTGCTCTCGAACTCTTAGTGAGTCAATGTCCTTAAGTAAATGGGTAGAGGTAAAACCCTTTTTCTGACACAGACTAAAATCTTGATATACCTTAGTAGTATATAAGTTACTAAGACTAAAAAAATGCATTATCTGGTGGCCAGCCTTCTGGTGGCGTAGCAGCGGTGTCAAACTTGTGGCCCGCAGAACACCCTATGCATCCTGAACCAGATTAAAATGCACTTGGGAAATGTTTAACAAAATAAATAAAAATATGATACAACATAGATAATGTTAATTTGTAGTTTTCTAAGTCAATATGCTGCTCTGAGGGAGATGTTTCTATTTGAGTTTGATACCACTGGCATAGAGATAGGATATGACTTGGAGTCAGGAAGATCTGTATTCAAATCCTACCTCACTTACTAGATGTGTGGCCTCTCTGGTTCTCAGTTTCCTCATCTGCAAAATAAAGAGGTTGAACTGGATAACCTCTATTTAAGGTCCCTTCCAGCTCTAAATTTAAGACCCTGTGATTTTATTGTGGTAAGTCTCTCAGAACTGAGCAAAGCTGGTTCTTGGATAATAAATATGTAGTCTGCTTCTGTGGTTGTCTTTGAAATATTTCTAGCTTACTGGGATCTACCAGACTTCATCCTCTCCTAGCCTAACCCTCCCAAATTCAGAATTGTCTCCGTGCCCCAACAAAGCATTGGGGGAACATTGCAGAGGAGTGCCTATAGAAATAACTGCAATAACAAGTGGATCTTCAAGAGCCTAAGAAAGGTACAAACACAGAGAAATGAGAGTTCTGAGGAAGAAAAGGGGATTTCTGGTGGGGAAAGGGGTTATGTGGCCCATGGAGATGGATGGACAATTTCAAAATGTGGAGATATGAGTAAGGAAGTAACCAGATTATTTGTTGTTGACTTGATTCAGTCATGTCTGACTCTTCTTGACCCTTTTTGGGATTTTCTTGGCAAAGATACTTGAGTGGTTTGCCATTTCCTTTTCCAGCTCATTTTACAGATGAGGAAATTGAAGTAAACAGGTTTAAGAGACTTGCCCAGGGTCATACAGCCATTGTGCTGAGGCCAGATTTGAACTCAGGAAGATGAGTTTTCTGACTCCAGGCCCCACACTCTATCCACTGTGCCACCTAGCTGCCCTCAAATATTACATGACTTGTTCTATGATTGGAAAGCTGTGAAATCCCAGTTGGATGCTTTCTTCCTCAGGTGACTCAGGTCAGTGATCTTGGGAATTTATCAATCAATACATCAGTAAACATTTATTAAATACCTGCTGTGTTCCAGGTACTGTGCTAAGCACTGGGAATTCAAAAAGAGGCAAAAACCAGTCCCTGCCCCCAAGGAACTCAGAATCTAATACTGTTAATCTTCCATGGCTGCAACCTGGGATAGCATTTTTTTAAAAAAAAATCAATAAAAGGGAAGCTTCTTTAGATCTTCTTGGGAGTCTTGGGTTTTAAACACTAAGTTTGACTGCTTCTCTGAAATGTTAAGAACTAACTTTCAAGGGGCAGCTAGGTGGCGCAGTGGATAGAGTACTGGCCCTGAAGTCAGGAGGACCTGAGGACCAGACCAAACACTTACTAGCTGTGTGACCCTGGGCAAGTCACTTAACCCCAATTGCCTAAAAAAAGAAAAAAAAAAGAACTAACTTTCAAATGTCTAGAAGCAAATTTAAGGCTTATGGTGGGCAATGGAAACACCAGCAATGGAAAATGAGGAACGGCCATCACAAAATGTATAGCTCTTATCTTTTTTCCTTTCTCTCTCTGAGAAAAAAAAAAGACTATTTTTATTAGACCAATGCAAGGGCGGGGAAATCTCCTGCCTTGAGACCACATGTGGCCCTCTAGGTCCTGAAGTCTAGCCCTTTGACTGAATCCAAACTTCACAGAGCAAATCTCCTTAATAAAGGATTTGTTCTGTTAAACCCATTATATGTGTGAAGTCATACAAAACACATTTTCATATTAACTAGGTTGCAACAATAACAAAAAAAAAAGGAAAAAAATAAAGTGAAAAAATATGCTTCAATCTATACTCAGGGTTCATCAGTTCTCTCTCTGGAGGTAAATAGCATTTTTTTTATCATGAGTCCTTTGGAATTGTCATGGATCATTGTATTGCTCAGAGTAGTTAAGTCTTTCACAGTTGATCATCCTTACAATATTGCTGTGATTGCGTACAGTGTTCTCCTGGTTCGGTTCACTTCACTTTGCATCAGTTCATGTAAGTCTTTCCAGGTTTTTCTAAAAGCATCCTTCTTGTTATTTCTTATAGCATTCCATCACACTCATATACCACAACTTGTTCATCCATTTGCAAATTAATGGGCATCTCCTAAATTTCCAATTCTTTACTGCCACAAAAAGAGCCACTATAAACATTTTTGTGCACATATACCCTTTTCCTCTTTCTTTGATCTCTTTGGGATATTGCTGGCATTGCTGGGTCAAAGGGTATACCCAGTTTGATAACCTTTTAGGCCTAGTTACCTGTTGCTCTCTAGAATGGTTGGATGAGTTCACAACTCTACCAATAGTACATTTGTGTCTCAGTCTTTCCATATCCCCTCCAATCTTTGTTGTTTTCCTTTTTTGTCACATTGGCTGATCTGATAGACGTGAGGTATACCTGAGAGCTGTTAACACGACATTTCTCTAATTGTTAGTGATTTAGAACATTTTTATATGACTATTGGGGCACCTAGGTGGCACAGTGGATATAATGGACTTGAGACTGGGAAGACTCATCTTCCTGAATTCAAATCTGTCCTCAGAGCCTTACTAACGGTCTGGCCCTGGGCAAGTCACTTAACCCTGTTTGCCTCTCAGTTTCTCATCTGTCAAATGAGCTATAGAAAGAATGGCAAATCACTTCAGTATCTTTGCCAAGAAAACCCCAAATGGGGTCATGAAGAGTCAGACACAACTGAAACAAGTGAACAGCAGAATTGATAGCTTTGATTTCTTCTTCTGAAAAGTGCGTGTTCATGTTCTTTGATCATTTATCAATTGGGAAATGGCTCATATTTTTATAAGTAAAATATTTTTTAAAAATTTTTTATTAATTTGATTTATCACTAATCACTTCCATATGCTTTTGAGTTTAAAATTTTTCTCCCCCTTTCTCCCCACAACCCTCCCCAAGACAGTGCACAATCTGATATAGACTATACATTTACATTCCTACTAAACATATTTTCACATTAGTGATGTTGTAAGTAAAAATTAAAACCAATGGGAGGAACCATCAGAAAGAGGAAACAAAACTCAACAGAAGAGAAAAAAATAGCAATTCAACTTCCATAGTTCTTTCTTTGGATGTGGATAGCATTTTCCATGACTAGGCCTTTGGAGATGTCTTAGATCCTTGTATTGCTGGGAAGGGTTAAGTTTATCAATATTAGTCATCACACAGTGTGGCTGTTATTGTGTACAACATTCTCTTGGTTCTGCTCACTTCAAGTAAAATCTTTTCAAAAATTCCTTTTAAGCCTAATTTTTTTTTTTGGTCCTGTGATTTCAGTAATAAGCAAACTTTCTACCAGTCTCAGAGAATTGCCTGGGGCACTTAGAGCTGACACTGTGCATATTTACATATTTAGGATTTGGTACCTAAGCTTGATTCATGGGTATTTGTTTCATCATGAAATCCCTGGTTGCTAAAATGTTTGCTTTCTTATCTGCCTCATCCTTCTGATTTTATTCAATTATCTATAATGGGCATTATTTAAAAAGTTACAATAAAACAACTAAGGATATAAAAGGGCAATAAATAGTTTAACATGTACCTTGCTGAGACAGACAAACAATTAATATCCTACGTGACCGGGCACTTTCTTTTTTTTTTTGCTAGGCAATAGGTTAAGTGACTTGCCCAGGGTCACACAGATAGTAAGTGTTATGTGTCTGAGGCTGGATTTGAGCTCAGGTCCTCCTGAATCCAGGGCCAGTGCTCTGTCCACTGCAACACCTAGCTGCCCCTTGACTGGGTGCTTTCAATGACTAGTTGTAAACCAACTAATAGCCAACTTTTCAGTCACATAATCAATTTCACCAATCTCTATAGATCCCTTCAGTGGCTGAATACATACATTACTTGAGAAACCACACGGACAGCATAGCAGTGGGGTGGTGAGAAGAAGTGAGAAGAGGTCTCATAGGTTATAATCCTCAGGGGTGGGTTTTGAACCCAGGCCTCTGACTCCAAAGTGAATACTCTTCCCACTGTGTCTTGCTGTCTCCCATTTCAGAGGTATATATATATACATACATACATATATACACACACACACACACACACACACACACACACACATGTATATATGTGTATTATATATGTGCATGTATGCATGTATATATGTGTATATATGTATATATACATATACATACATACACACATATACAAATACGTGTGTGTGTGTGTGTGTGTATGTATGTATGTATGTATGTAGTCTAGATGCCTATATTCTCATCCTAACTCGGCTATTAATTAGCTGGGTAGCCTTGGGCAAATCACAACTTCCCTAGGCTTCTATTTCCTTAACTGAGAGTGAGACTAGTTGATTTTTCAGGTCCTTGCCAGTATTAGATTCTATAATCCTCATTATGACAAAGACTTTGTAGTGTTCTGAGTTTGTTTGTTTGTTTTGAGAAATTGGAAAGAGGATTAATACTGATTAACTATTTTAGTTAACTGGTTAAAATTCGTGATTTTAATTGTTGTGTTTTCTCTACTACCTCCAGGTTCCCAATAGGTGTAGCAGCAGCAGCTGTCCTCCTCTGCCTGAACACATGGACTGCAGCCATAGCTGGGAGCATTTTGGCAGTCTGCACCATTGCCGTATGGCCTCACCTTCTTGGCTGCCTCATTAGCTCAGAGATGAATCCTGGGAGGGCTATAATCACTACCATGACATTCTGTCTTCTTGATTTTTTTTTCCTGTGTGGGATGTACAGCTTTTAAGTATGTACCAAGAGATATCCAGACTAGAGAAAGTCTGATGTACTTTTGGGTAAGTGGTACATGTGAAATTCTGCAGTCAAGTGGCATCTCACTGATGTCTCAGGTCATGACCAAAATACAGCCCTTTAATAAGTGGACTTGAAAAGGTTGACATCTTGCTTTTCTTAAGTCAGTCACAAACATTTATTAATTACCTACTATGTGCCAGTCACTGTGCTAAGTGCTGGGCATACAAAGATAGTCCTTTTCTTTTAAATTAATGGGAAATTTTCATGACAAAGAACAAAGTGTAGTTTAAGAAAAATCTTATTAAATAACTAAATTACTGTGTTAATTATATCCTCAGTTCATTGTGTCTCAAAAGTTACTATTATGACTAGCAACCTCTTAGTATCTTGTTGAGTTGTGTCTGATTCTTTGTGATCCCATGGATTTATCCACAGGGTTTTCTTGGCAAAATGGCTGGCCATTTCCTTCTCCAGTATGTCCTCATTTTACAATAAAGAACTGAGGCGAATAGGGATTACTTGCCCAGGGTCACATAGCTAGCAAGTTTGTGAGGCCACATTTGAACTCAGATCTTCTTGACTCCAGACCCAGCACTCTATCCACTGAACCACCTACTTAGATCTAGTTCATATAATCAATATGTACTTTTCCCAGTGAATTCAATGTTATTAAAAATAGTTAATCCATAGTAAATGATGAAAGAACAACCATAATTATTTTTCAAAAATCCTTTTCCATTTATTGCAGGGAAAAAATAAACCCAAGACAAAAATCTATCAATGGCAATTTTGCTTTGATGAAAGCATCAGAAAATGATTCTTGATATGGTGCAGGAATGGTTGTATTACTGAGGTTAAGAGTTGTCTCTTACCTCACACGTTGTAATTTTGGAAGGCCCACAGAATTTAGCCTTGAGTTCTCGTTTAGTATATTTCTTGAAAACAGGAAAAGGGTCTGCCTTTTTCAGTATGGAGAATTCCTTGTATAAAACTCCATCCACCAGCAGGTGGCAACATGTCTATGACTTAGCAAATAAGTCTCAAGAAGTACAAGATTATACAAAGATGGAGGTCAAGTGATGTAATAGGTAGTGTTGAGCTTGGTATTAGGAATGACTCTAATTTCAAATTCTGCCTCAGATACTTACTAATTGTATGATCACAGTCAAGTTACTTAGTAAATTTTAATGATATATAAAAGATACATATTTTATACTTTTTCCTTAAATATACAACCAAGTATTAAATACATATTTTAAAAATCCCCAAGTCATCAAATAATCATTTTTCTGTCTCCATGGTTATGAACTTATGGATATTTTAAAAAATTTAGGACCACAGATTTAGAGATGAAAGGGACTTCAAAATTCATCTAGCTCTAATCCACTCCCTTATTTTAAAGATGAATGAACTAGGGTCCAGAGACAAAGTAACATCAGCTATTAAGTGTCAAAGCTTGCACAGTTACAGTTCTCAGACTCTAAGCTCTGACCACTTTCTCCCACACCATGCTGCCTTTAAAAGTTTAGCAGAAATTTCAGGTCATTTTCTTGTTTAATTGACTTTTCATTAATGATATAACAATTGGCCTTTACCAGTAATCTACAGATTGAATTCTGTCATTCATTTCACATATAAATAGTGTCAAAGACTCAATAAACTGAAAAACACTGAAGAAAAAAACCACACCATCAGTAGGCTGAATTCTTCCCCGTGCTGTCTTCTCCCTAACAGCTTCTTACACTGGTACTCCTTTGCAAAAAAAAAAAAAAAGAGAGAGAGAGAGAGAGAGAGAAAGAAAAAGAAAAAAACAGTTTTCTTGTGGTTTTTTGTTTTTTGTTGCAATAATTTCCAAACATGTCCCACCACTTAGCCTACTCTTGTAATAAAGAAAAACAGTTAAGCAAAACCAATTAATATTGAGTCTAACAATGTGTCATATTCCATATGGATAATCCCTCTCTTTTCCACAGAGAGGAAGGCAGATAGGTGGCATAGTGTATAGTGGGTCTAAGAGTCAGGAAGACCTGAGTTCAAATTATGCCTCAGATATTTACCAGCTGTGTGACCCTGGGGCAAGTCACTTAACTTCTATTTGCCTCAGTTTCCTAATCTATAAAATGGGAATTATAATAGTACCTACCTCCCAGAGTTGTTGTGGAGCCAATGAGAGAATTGTAAAGCTCTTAGCACAGTGTTTGGCACATAGTAAGCCATTTGTAAATGTCAACCATTATTATCCATTCTCTTGCTCATTATAATTCATCAGATAGAATAGACATAGTTCATGCATTCATTCATTCATTCATTCATTCATTCATTCATTCATCCAATACAATTCATGCATTATTTTTTATTTCAAATGGAATTGAGAAACAACCACTGAGAATTTGACACCAAATACTTTCTCCAGCTGTTCACATAACCTGAGATGTTGGGACGTGCATTGCTTACTCCATTTCTTCCCTGACATCTTGGTTTTTGGGGCACTTCAAGTTTCTTTTGGTTCCTTTCAGTTGTGTGTACCCTCTTTCACTCTTTCCTCTTGTCTGATATGCTGATTTTCTCCTACTTCAGCTTGCTTAAGGAGAAAGATAATGAAAATAAGATCTCATGAATATTTCGTTCTATTCATAATTATACTTCCTTAAAATATGATGAATGGTAGGTTCATTTTTTTGCATTCTCTCTCTCCCTCTCCCTCTCTCTCTTTCTCCCCTTTCCTTTTCTTTCCCTGTCTTTCCTTCCCTCCCTCTCTCCTCTTTCTTTCTCTTTCCATTTTCTTTCACTCTTCTTTTCTCTTCCTCCTCTCCCTTACTGCCTTCCTCTTTCATCCTTTCTTTCCCTCCCCCTTCCTCTCTTTCCCCTCTTCTGTCTACTTCCTTATCATCAGCATTTATAATCAGCATTCTGTTGAGTTAGTCCTTGAGCTCAGGGCCAATTCAAGCATAGAGCTTAGCCTGGGATTTTTATACCTTGTTAGAAATTACAATTTATTTTGGACCTATCCTGGGCCTGGAGATCCCAAGCCTGAATTAGTATTGATGTAGTACTACTTAAATAATACCACTATGGGCTAAAGTGTCCTTTATCCTCTTTCCCAAACTGGTGTCATATATTCTAGGAATTCAAGTACTCTTTTCTACAGAAATTATAGTTTTTCTCTAAGTGTCTCTAAAACATTCTCTGGCATGTGTTAGGGATTTAAGGAGACACAGCAACACTTCCATCTATTAGGAGTCCCTAGAAACCCCACTGTTATCTATTTATGGGTCTTACATCTTTACCTGGTGGATTCCCAACAGCTGCTGTCCCACTGCCCTACCCCATAGATAACTTTGTTCTTCCTTTCTGCAGCAACACCCTTCAATCAGTATCTTGCACCAGGACTCCCAGCAAAAGCATAAGATTCTAGAGAAACATCAGTCCTTCCTCATTAACAAAAAGTAGAGACACTTTTGAAAAATCTGTAATTTCTATAGTACTGGTTGAGTGATTCTCTCATGGCTCCCTGAATGTGAAATTTATGAGTAAAGGACTAGCTTAGATACTGAGAGAGATATGGTTCAATTATTTTGTATTTTCAAGGCTTCGTAATTAAAATGAAATTTCACCCATAATCTTGACTACTTGCATTAGGCATAAAAAGGACTGTGGGTTAAAATGCATTAAATATTTTCTCTCAGGGACATTAGTGTTAATTATTGGACTAGATCTGATTGCTGGGCCTCCAAAAAGCCTTGAATTAGTTCATCAAACAAAAAATAATTCTAAAATGCTATTCAGAAAAAAAGCAGAAATTCCCTGAAATTTTGTAGTATCATTTTGCTTTGTTCCTAACATAATTAAGTGGATTTTATAAAGGAATATTCCATGGGGTTATTTTGGGCATCCCAAAGGTGATGGTGGTCGATTGACTAATTAGCTTACTTCCAGTTTCAACCTTCTTCCCCAAAGATTGAATCGGGCCAAAACCTGGAATGAAGATGAACAAGAACTCCAAACATTAAACTTACCCATTCTTTATTATTCAGAGTAAATTTAACTTGCTGACTCAAATCAAAATCAAATCAACATTTATTGAGCACTCACTGTGTATTAGATACTACAGGTATATACAGATATGTAAGACTTGTTCTTTGCCATTTATATAGCCAAAGGCAAAAGACAGAAATGTGAAAAGTCTAATAACAACAGAAGATTTAAGTAACTGCAATAGAAGAGAGGTAAGGCAGCAAATGGCTTCCACTTAAAAACATTTCAGTGTTCAATTCAACATTTATTTAGCATCCACTATTTGCAAGGGCCTTTGCTATATTCTGGAGATTCAAAGACAAAAAGGAAACATTTCCTTCCCTCAAGGAGTTTACACTCCCCTGTAAGGGATATATGAAATAGGGCTGGAAATATGTTAAGGTGAATAGAAAATAAGGCTGGATCCAAGACAATTCCTAAGGACTTATGATGAAAAATGCTGTCCATCTCCAGAGAAAGACCTGATAGAGTTTAATGCAGATTGAAGAGTACTTTTTTTGTTATTTTATTATTCTTGGGGTTTTTGGTCTGTGTTTTCTTTTGCAATGTGGCTAATATGGAAATATTTTGCATGACTTCACATGAATATTCAATATCACATTGTTTGCCTTCTCCAGGAGGGGAAAAGAGAGGGGAGAAAGAATATGGAACTCAGAATTTTAAAAAATTAATCTTAAAGCTTTGTATATGTAATTGGGAAATATTTAACAAAATAAAAATATATTTTACACAAAAAAAATGAGGCTGGAGTTGAAAGCCAGATTAGGGAACAATTATCATTAGGCAGTTGCTGATCAAAGGAAATCTTCAAATTTATGCTTCAGGAATATCATTTTGGCAGCTTCAGATTGAATTGGGGAGGAGAGATTGGAGGCAGGGAAACTGGTTAGGAAGATAGTAGAGCAGTCCAGGTGAGAGGTAGTGAAGGTCTGATCTAGGCTGGTAGCTATGTGAGTAAAGAGAGAGAAGGGGACTGATTCAAGGGATATAGAGGTGGAATCAAAAAGATGTGGCAAAGTTTTACATGTGGTGAATAAGAGAAAGGGAAGGGACAAGGACAATTCTGAAGTTACACATCTGGGTGACTTGGAGGGTAGTACTAGCATTAACGTAAATAAAGAAATTTGGAAGAATATTGGGTTTAGTGAGGGAGAGGGAGACAATGAATTCTATTTTTGTCAAACTTAGATGCTTAGGAAATATTCAGAAGGAGTCATCCTGGGAGCAGTCGGTCATACATGACTTGAGTCCAAGAGGGAAACTAGGGCTGGGTGTTTAGATGTGGGAGTCATCTCAGAGCTGATTCTTGAGCAGGTAGAAGCTGATGAATTCTTCAAGAGGGAAAAGAGGTTCCAGGATAGAACCCTAGTGAACACCCACAGAAAAGGGGTAAGAGTTGGACAATGGCCTAGGAAGAGATCTTGGGTTCTAGCAATATCAGAAAGCTTTCATATGGAATTAATGAGAAAAGAAGTAACCTACAAATAAACACCAATGCCTCTATTTCTTTTCTGACCTTAGAAGACCATAGCCTTTGTGTTTAAGTCCTCCTCTATAGCCTACTCTTCCCTCCTCCCTACCCCCACTTATCTTAGTCTATGTTTGCAATCCCTTTGGACTAGTGGTACTGGGGAAAAGGTCTCCAGAATGGGAGATGATTCCCATCTCCTGCTTTACTAGCAAAATGAGGAAACACCTGTAGATGGCAGGGTGAGAGGATGAAATAGTTTGCAGAGGTTCTTAATGTGGGTGACATGAAACCCCGGGAGGGACACTGGAAAAGACCAGGGGGGTGGTAGTAGCCTCAGGTGCAATTGGGGGGCATTGAATAAAAATAAGGGGGTGATAGAAGCATAAGGAAAGAAGAGAAGAAAATTATGAAAAACGATTTGTACATGTTTCATCTGTTGTGTAACAAAGTTAAAGTTGTAGTGATTACATTATTTTCCAAATAAACACACAAAATGCAAGTTATAACCAATCAGTGATCAAGTCCGCAGACAAGTCTTAACAAGCAAGTGTTGGCAGGCAACATTTCACACATTGTCCTGAAGTCCACTATGCATCAACAAGAACATGTGCATATAATGACTTGTTTACAATATGATACCATACTATTACAAATCACAATATTGCGTCATCAAAATTTCAATGCAAGAAAGAACCCAAATTTATAATAAATCATTAAATTTAAGATGTATCATTTTTTTAAAAAAAATTATATATTTTTTAAATGACACAAATTTTTAAAAAAACATTAAAAGGTTAAAGAAAGTAGATTTCCAGCAGGGCACTGAGTAATTTTTCTTTTTTTTTTGAAAAGGGGGCAATGGGCTAAATAAGTTTGGGAACCTCTGCTCTAGGGCTAACCGGATTTGGTTTGTATGCAGGAGCTTCCCCAACTAGTGAAACTGTGATGCTAAGGCCCTCCAGCTGGTGGGAAGAGTTGGGCAGCCAGGGACTGAAATAATAGCATTTACATAGAGCTTTAGAGTCAGAGGATTTACAGGCAGGTGTTCTGTAACTCAAATCTAAGATTGTACCAGTGATGGAAGCCAAGGTGGAAAGATAGGGACAAGAGTAAACTAAATTGGATCCGGAAGAATGTGAAATGAGGGACAATGCTGTGGTTTGTTATAGAAATGCCAAAGTGAGATGAGGAAAAAGCAGGCAGGAGCCTTGTAGCTGGAAACACCTGGCCAGCCTAACCATTATTGGCACCAAACCCTTTGATACATTAAGCAATGTTTTGAAGGTTGGTCAGAAAAACCACCCAGATAGGGAGAGTCTGGCTCAGCATTGGTTTTTACCCCCTTGGGAGTGGGTATACTTCTTCAAGCTGGATGAGGGAAGGTCATTCTCTTCCTTTCATAACTTTAGGTCCTTTTTCACGATAACTAGGGGTGAGAGTGGGTGCCAAAGCCCCAGAGACGTCCTTGTCACCCAGTTCTCAGAGTTTTAGTTGCTGGGGTAGTAAATGGGGAACAATAACCAATATTTGGAAGATAGGATTTCAGGAAATACAAATGTATATGAGTTGTATGGTTTCAGCTCTCTCCAAGAGTGCCTCAGATTGTCATAGAGGGCCAATTACTGTCTGCAATCTCTTTGGCACAGGGCAGAACTTGTGCGTGGCTGATCAATCAATGAATGATTATTTATTAAGTGACTACTGTATGCGGTCAGCGTTGCTCTGTTTAGGTTCTGGCGATACAAAGACTATTCCCTATGTGTATGTTGAATGAACAAAGGCCACTATGATGGGAGCTTGTACAAAGATAAGTTGTGAGTTCTGAATGTGGAACAATTTAAGCTGAAGAAATCTTAAGTGAAACCTGTCTCCTGATAGAGGCATTGGTAGGCTTGGTTTTGTATAATTTACCCAACACTTGTTTTTTACCCTTTCTGAATCTGTATTGAAAAAAAAGTCTCTTGTTAGCAATGAGGATGGCCACATTTTCATTTTATTTTCTACTACCAATGAAATGTTTTCATGGGGATGTGACATAAACAATTTCTCTGAAGTTAAATTGATGGAAGGGAAATCGTGTTGCAATTTCTTTCTGCATCTCTGCTTTAATAATAATATTCTTGAGAGAACTTCTTTGCATGAATATTCATTTCTTCTCACTCCAAAGAGTTACAAGGAAGCCGTGTTTTCCAGAGGCCTAGATCTTATTGCTACTACATAGATTTTTAGAGGATTGAAACATGTATGCACTTCCTCCTCCTCAAAATTATTCTTGAACCTCTTTTATAAAATATCATTAACCAGTAGAATAAATTCAAGCCTAAAAACAACTCTTCTTCTTGTGTTACTTCCTTTGAGTCTCATAAGCTTTCTGCCACCCCACTCCTTTTTGTTCAGTTTTGTGGATGCTTGTTTGTGTAGGATTGCTAGTGTTAATTAGGCAAAGGGTAAGTAATTTTTTTTTGACTATGCAGTGAGGTTAAGTGACTTGCCCAGGGTCACGCAGCTAGTAAGTGTCGAGTGTCTGAGGTCAGATTTGAACTCAAGTCCTCCTGATTCCAGGGCCTGTGTTCTATCCACTACACCACCCAATTGCCCCTTAGCTTTTTTTTTTAAAAGCATATTTCCACCTGAATCTGACAGGTATTCAGGTCCAACTTTATTTTTATTTTTATTTTATCTATAGTTGGACCTGAGTACTAGCTATTGCCAAGAGTCCAGATTCTTTCTGGGTTTGGTCTTTGATTTGGGGAATATGGGGTGATAATACAGACAAACTCCTTTATAACACTGGTGTTTGGCAGACAAGGCTAACACTAGCACATTGTGTTCTAAAATAACTTTTTTCCTATGTCGTTGTTTTGTCTTGGAAGACATTTTTTGACTTAAATTGCATCATAAACAACAAGCCATCTTACAATAATATTAATAGCATTCTCCTGACCCTATTCCCTAGAACTGTCAAGACCACCTTGGATTCATTGATTAAAGGAGCCCTGTGGCCAATTTGATTATTCAGAGACCAGTTATCTCAAGAGATGATGAATTCTGGAGATTTTTCTAGTCTTCTTCTCCATCTTGCTGTCTGAAATTTGACTATTTCATCATTTTGTCAATAGCTGCTTAAAGAATGAGGGGGAGAAAGGGAAACTCTAGTAAATATTATGTTATTTCTTATAGCTTTAATAGAAGCATGGGATTGAAATGTCAATAATTGCTAAAAATGAATGAAGACAACATCTATAAATGTCAGCAATTTCTATATTCTTTGTATCATATTCCTTAGCAAGAGAGCTGTGTGCTATTATACAAGTCATTTTTTTTTCTGTCTGCTGCACATTAGTAACAATCATTGTGGAGCTCTAATTTTCAATTAGGGAGAAAGGATTTTTGGGTGGGTTGTAAGTGTCTCTGTGTTTGTGTATGTCTTACTCCCTTTCTTCATGAAGCAAGGGAAGTAGACTGGAAAACTGGAGCAAAGTTATTTGAACTCTTTCTTTTTTTCTTTTTTAGCTATTTCTTGTTATGTTAGAGAGATATCATGCTGGTTCTGGAGTAGGAGACCTGAGTTTTAAGCCTGGTTCTAATACAGGCAAGACCTTGGGCAAGTCACTGTAACTTCTTTGAGCTCCTTAGTATCCTCATCTCTAAAATGGGTATAATAGAGCTTCCTTACGCCGCCCTTATAGCATTATGGTAAGTATTAAGTGCTATACAAATGAGTTATCACTATAGTCCTCTTTTCAATGAAAAGTAATTGTTGGGAATAAAAAGCAGACAACTTCTTCGAGTATGAAAGTTTAAAAAAGGGACCGATCACATGACACTTACTAGCTGTGTGACCCTGGGCAAGTCACTTAACCTGATTGCCTCACTAAAAAGCGAAAATAAATAATTAATTAATTAGATGAATGAATGAATGAACAAATAAATAATTAAATAAATGAGGGGCTGATTTGCTGTTTCTAGGACATGTAATTTGAGTTATTTTCTCAGCAGTAGGGATAATTATAAAGCTTAACTTCATTTGCAAAAATCTTCCCTTCCCTTTCCCTATTTCTTAGTGAGTTTTGAGTGGCTTTTCTAATAATGGTGATGAAATTGTTCTAAACCTCACATACTCTTGTTCTCCTACTCTGTTGATTAGTGGGCATATGTTCATGAAATGGCAGGCTAAAGTAAAAATAGCCTTTGGCTACACTCCTGATCCATCAAAAGATGTAATCTTGGCCCCATTACCACAACAATATTATGATGTGATGGTCATATTTGTATTTGGCCAGGCTAGAATCTTCATCCTTTCATCAATAAACTAAGTCTTGTCTCAACCACTAGTGAACCTTCAAAACAAGTTTTATCCTTGTAGACTGACTCTGTCCCACATCTTAGCTGAATGTCAGAAGAGCCAGATGAATCTAAATATTCCTTCTTTTCTCATGAATAGACTATGTAGTGAATGTCTGGCTTTTTCTTTTTATTAAATATGAGCACATGTCATAGGGGACTAATAGTGCTTGGCATTGTAAGCCTTGAACTGTTACTTTAGTACATGGGAAACTGTGGAGAAAAAAAGACAGAAGAATGCTATGCCGAAATTGTCCATTCATATTAATCACAAGTTGCCATTAAAAATGTTCCGCAGGCACCAACCAAAGAATTCTCAGCCCTGATCTGGCCTTTCTGATTTGGATATGACAATGAAGGTTGGCCTTCTCTAGAGCAATCGGCTCACTGACTCAATCAAACAGGTATGTTTTATTAGAATTGATGTCTGTTAAGGAGGAACCACAGTTCTTCTGTTCTGGGTAGGGTCAATTCACAGAAGGAAAAGATTTGCTAGGCAGTGTAGCTGAAGGAAGAGTTAGCTCCTTGTATCTTTGATAGGGATTCAGGCGAGAGCAGAGAACAAAGCCTCTTCACATTGGGCCATTAGTAGGGATTCCTAGCCATGACATTTTTTTATTTTTAGGTAATTGGAGTTAAGTGACTTGCCCAGGGTCACACAGCTAGTAAGTGTCAAGTGTTTGATCTGAGGCTGGATTTGAACTCAGGTCCTCCTGAGTTCAGGGCTGATACTCTATCCACTGCACCACCTAGCTGTCCCCCCTAGTCATGACATTTTAAATAGAGATACATGTGTGGGCAGGGTGAGAGGCAAGACCTTTCTCTTTCCAGCCCCTCTGAATATTGTCTGCTGGACTCAAAGGCCCTAGGGAGCTGGACAGCAATGCTCATTTAGTAAAGCATAAAGTTCAAAGGTCTCATTTCCCTGTGGACACTGTGACTCAGTGTCCCATGGTGTTCCTTTCTACCATGTGGCTCTCTTAAAATCTGTGGAAGATTAACTCTCAGGTCAGCTTCAAGAGGGATGGAGCAAGATAAATGATGGATAAACTTGTTATTCGTAGTGACAGTGGTATAACCTGAGGTGTCTCTGGTTACTTTTATATTTGGGGGTCCATTGTAGAGCTGTTTCTGATCATTATGCCTGTGTAATACCCATCATCTACTTTTCTCTGGCAAGAACCAGAGTCTAGCATTCATCTTACTGCCTTGGAAATATTTGTCCTGCTAAGCAGTGTTGTTTATGAGCAAGTAGACATTTCAAGAGGGGCCTTAGGACAATTTATATTTGTGTTGTAAATGTAGTACTGGACCCCATGCATACTCACAGGACTCTGGGACCACTCTGTAATTCCCAAATGTGGCGTATTGTTTGGTTATCAACTATCTGAAACCTTAGTCTGAGCCCCCACCAATACCATCTCTGTGCCCAATGTACAAAAGGGATTTGAATCCAAGAAGCAAAAGCTATTTAACTGGCAGAAGAAGAAAACAAATAATAAGAAATTAAACCAGGCAGTAAACATTTTCTGTATGTATGCATACATCTTCTGTACCTTAAGGAGAATGCTATTCAATTTCTTCTTCAAATTGTGCCCTTGGAGAAAGGCACAGTTAGCTCAATTCGCAGCACTAGTAAGGAAGCTTGGGGTCTATTGCTATGTGCTTTCTGACTTTCTTTCCTCCGTTCACAAAGAGGCATATTGGAGCAACACTGCTGCCTTAGGGTCATTTTCTTCACCATTTGGCTCTGTAATCATCACACTATGGCTAGGCTGTGTTCTCTGGTATCTTCTTATGTTCTCATGGCTCTCCAGTCCCTCAGGAGGACATGGCAGTCATACAATTCAGGTTGGATTGCTCTGTTCTCTTTCCATGGAGCTGCTGTCCTCCAATCCTCCAATGTTGCCTTCTCCCTAATTACTGTCTCGTGAGTCTTCTCTGCCATGCTCTCAGGTCTGTGCCCCCTATGCTTTCTTTTCCTATGGATGCTCTCCTTTGTCCCACACATCTGTCACCTTCATCATCCTCTGTGGCTTTCCAGTACAACCCTGTGTTTTAGGAAAAAGGCAACATTAGAGTCTCAGGTTCTAAGAGCTTTCTGACTTCCTGACTGTTGGAATGTGGGCCAACTAAAGCTGTCCTATGGAGCATTTTTGACACAGAAGCAATCTCCACTCGTATTTCTGAAAGTACATTGTTATATAGCTAGAATTTCTTAACAATGATCCCTTATTCACTATGGAATCTGGTCAGGTCCTATAACTTTGATAGCATCCTTGTTGTCTGAAATGGAAGAATTGAATTTAAACTCACAATATTACTTTGATCTCACTGAGATATAATGAAATCAAGAACCTCTTTACCTTGCCTTCAAAGTACTTTGCAATCAAATTCAGGCCATGTAGCTCAATGTAAAGAATACTTGGGAGTTCAGGAGTTCTTGTGGCTTAATGGAAAGGGCACTTGGAAGTTAGGAAGCTGTGATTTTGCCACTAATTCCATTGGTACCTAACTGTCGATCCATAAGGGGTGCATAGCAGTTTTTCTTTTAATTCAGGAAACATAAGAGAAAGCATTTTTAGAAGAAATGTGCTTCTGTATATAAATTCAAACTATCATTATTTGCCACTTTATACTTTTTCCAACCAAAAAGCAGTATTTGGTTTGATAGTAAATTCACCATTAATTTGCATTATGAAATTACTTTTTGTGGCAATAGATGAAAGTGGCATTATATTTAAATCTTAAATATCTTTGAGTTTCTGCCTAAGAAAAAATCCCTTTACATTGCTTGTTTAAATTTAAGATTATTTTATTAGTTAATCTCAAGTGCTTTTAGATAAATCTATTTTCAAAGTTTTAGTACCATGGTAAAACTAATTAAAGAAAACCTCTCCATTAGTTAGACCTGAACACTGGGATTTGTGGCTTTTAGAGTGTGGTCTGAGCATATCTGATTTCTTCATGGCTTTGATCCCTCTCATCAATCATAGTTGGTTTTTCTTTTTTAACCTCCTATCCTTATCTTCCCTGAAGCAACCATTTAGGTTCCTATCTTGTCTGGCATCATGACTCCTACTAGGACTGGGCTGTAGCCTGGTCCACCTCTGCTATTGTCCATTTCTCAGCTGTCTAGACATAGCCTTCTTCATCCTTTGGTCTCTTTCACCTATGGCCCAGTGGATTCCCATGGTGTTCAGGAAAGATACATCCTTTGAATTTTGGGTAAAGAGAATTTTGATCTTTTTATTTTAAAACTTGAGATGTGTCTATAGTTTGACTATGATCTCTAAACAAGAAAGTCATTCAAAGCTTAGGTTTCTGTAACTTCATTTTATTAACTTATCAGAAAACTGTTTTATTCCTTGATTTTGAAGTAAGGTTTTAAAAGTTAGAAATTGCTGTGTTAATTTGGTTTCATTTGGTTTCATATTAATTTAGTTAATCACCCTCATTTTCTTCTCCATCAGGTGCAGATGTCATAACAATTTTAGAGAGTGATGGCTCTAAATCCTTCAAAGGGAACAATTACTTAACAATGTGGTGAGGGGTAAAGCTGGGCTTTTATACAGATCTTGGTCCAAGCACAAGAGATCACACTTGAGGGGTGAGTGTCCCTTAGGAAAGGGAATGTTTAAGGGGAAATGGTAGAGACATTTCCTTTAGCATTAGGAAAAGGGGAGGCATGAAAGTGGGATAGAAAGTCTAGATCACTTCATTCCACTTTCCTACCATGGGCTTGGCTTAGACACACTTCTTGGGAAACAAGGAATTGTTAGTGGCTAGATAACATCATGTTTCTTCATAACATCCTTTCCCTTCTCTTCACTCACACAGCAACTACCTTAGTTAAGTCTCTTATCACCTCTTGTTTGGACTATTTTAAGAGTTTACCAATTTGTTTATCTGCTTCTAGTCTCACTTCTCTAAACTGTCCTCCATACAATTGCCCAAATGATCTTAGAGTAGCTCAGTCTTACCACGTCATAAGCAGCTAGGTAGTACAGTGTTGGGCTCAGAGTCAGAAAGGTGAGTTTAAGTCCTATTTCAGACACTTAATAGCTGTGTGACCTTGAGCAAGTCACTTAACCTTTCTCAGCTGCTTTCCTATCTCTGAAATGGGGATAATAATAGCACCTCCCTCCATGAATTGTTGTGAGGATGAAGTGAAATAATAACATGTGTAAAGTACACTGCAAAGCTTTAAAGTGCTATACAAATGTTAGCTATTATTATTCTCCTGTTCAAGAATTTTCAGTGGCTCCCAATTACTTCTAGGAAAAAGCCTAGTATTTAAAGACCTCCATAATCTGAGACCCACTTACCTTTCCAGACTTATTTCATAGAATACCAGCTGTACACTTTCCAGTCCTGCCAAACTAGACTGTTGGCTGTTCTCCAAACTCAACATTCCATCTTTTGCCACCTTGACTTTGCAGGTTGTTTCCCAACTCCTCCCTCCTCTGATATCCCCCTCTCATTTCCTCTCAGAGTGCATGTTATTCTTATCGTCAGTTCTCAAAATCCTTGGCTTTTTTCAAGACCCAGCTCACTTGCCACCTCCTGCTCAAGGGAAGCCTTTCTGGATCTCCAAGGTCATTAGCGTTCTCTCCTTCCAAAGTATCTTGTAGCTATGTATACATTGTGTCACCCCAAACAGAAGTTCCTTAAGTGAAGGGATTTTTCATTTTTGTCTTTGCATCCCCAGTGTCTAGCATGGTGCCTGGCACAGATCAGTAACTTAATTAACGTTTGAATTGATGTTAAGTTGAATGATGTACACATTATAATGTTGCTATTACAGCTCTCACACTGATGTAACACATGTATTTTGGGGAGTTTGGTGAATGTTTGAGCATCCTTTCTCGTGCTCTAGTATTTGGTCTGGACCAAAGAGTTCATTTGGACCACTTAGCTCTTCATCTCTTTTTATGTTATTAAAAAATATTCTACAAAGAGAGAGTTTGACTTTGCCTTTAGCTATTGATTGTCAAAAACTTTCATGCGAATGGAAATGCATCACACTTTAATTATGAAAATGTTATTCTACAGATGAATTTTTAAAAATGTGTTTGCATAAATATCCTGTTCTTAGTGTTAGCCAAAGAACTTTCTAATCGAGCTGTAATTGAGTTTGTTGCCTGCTTCCCCAAAGAAACTGCTTATGGCTATGGTTATTTCAAGCGGGATCCTGGGGATCCCTTTAATGAAACTGGAGGAATTTTTAATTATACCTCTGCATGTTCAGCAAATCCTGTGGGAACCGGGATGTATGAATTTGGTTTGGGTTTTGCTTAGAAAAGTTAGACGTTAATAATAACCAAAGAATAGCCTACAAAGTTGCTGCTAACATCCATCCTCCACAAAGTCTCTTTGTCAAATTAAAAGTTTAATTTTTAAGTAAAATAAGTTTTAGTAAAAAAGCTGTATATTGGGGCAGCTAGGTGGTGCAGTGTATAGAACACCAGCCCTGAAGTCAGGAGGACCTGAGTTCAAATCCAACCTCAGACAAGACGCTTGACACTTACTAGCTGTGTGACCCTGGACAAGTCACTTAACCCCAATTGCTTAAAAAAAAAAGCTGTATAGTAAAGCTGTTCCTACAGGAATGGAGTCATAACCAACTTCAGAGTAGATACAGAGAGAGCGAGAGATACTGGTTATCCAACTGGTATGTTATCTGGGTCACTTCAATTTATACCCTTTCTTTTGGCCATTTCACTTCTTGCTAGAACCTCCACTGGGGGCGAGAAGGGGCAGGAAGATCTTCAAATCCAGCCTCAAACGCTTACTAGCTGTATAACGTGGGGCAAGTCACTTAACCTTTGTCTGTCTCAGTTTCCTCAGCTGCAAAATGGAGATGATAACAGCACCCCCCTCTCAGGATTGCTGTGAGGATCAAATGAGATAATATTTATAAAAATCACTTGGCATGGTATGTGGCACCTCACAGGTACTATAAAAATGCTCATTACCTTCCCTTTCTCTACCTCCCAGGGTTGTTGTAATGATTCAAAAAACAGATAATATTTGCATATCTCTTTGCAAACCTTAAAGTCCTGTGCAAAAGCTATTTCTTGTTATTGTTATTATTATTGTTACTGTTATTATATTTCCAGTGTTTTCAGCATCATAGGCACTTAGTAGATCAATATTGAATTGACTCAAATTAAACATAATCTAACCTGAATTGGGAAAAGTAATGACAGTGACTTAAGTCTTTGTATCCCTGGCAATTAGCGCAGAATCTCTGGCACAGATCAGGCAATTAAAAATGCCTATTGATTAACTGATAGTTCTCAAAGAATCCCTTGAGTGGCAGGTTCAGGTACGTAAATAAGAATTTGTCTTACTAATCAATCATTAAGCATTTATTAAGTGCTTACTGCATACCAAGTTCTATGCAAAGTGTTAGAGATAGTTTCCTCAACTGTAAAATGGAGATAATAATGGCACCTGCCTTCTATGGTTGTTGCAAGGGTGAATGGAGATACATATTTGTAAAGTGCTTAGCGCAGTACCTGGCCCATATAGTAAGTGCTGTATAAATGTTATTGTTGTAGTTATTATTTTTTTAAGAAAAAGTGAAAACAGCCCCTCACTTTGAAGAGCTTGCATTCTAATTGGGAGAGATGGTATGTACACATATGGATGTATACAAGATACACACAAAATAGACACAGGGCAGACACTGGCTGCTGAAGGGGTGGGGAGAGGCAAAAGCCTCCTGCAGAAAGTGTCTCCTGAGCTGAGTCTTGAAGGAAGCCAGAAATTCCAGGGCCCTTAAAATGAATATCCATTTGCATTATGGAAATGATAAGTAGCTTAAGTGTATATCTGTTTCTGAGAGAGGGTCTGGCTCCCATGTGCAGAGAGTGAGAAAGCAGTGAATTATTTTAGGTGGCAAGGAAAGACTGTTTAAAAAAAATCCTGTTTCCATAGTCATTTTGTGTTAGTGTGTATTCATATATGTGTATAAGCAAACAAGGGAAACCTGATTTTCATTTCAGTGATTGCCTTCTATGCAGAGAAGGGCAATGTAATTTGAAAGACTGAAACGATATCAGTTATTGTGCTACGTTATATTTTATCCCTGCAATATATGTTCTCTGTCATTTTATAAGAGAAAGCTACTTCCATTTTTAACTCCCCCAAAATGTACAGGTTTACATTAGAATTGTTTATGCAAATCTGTTGTTAAACCAGTAATGCAAATTAGATGGATTTTGTGTATTATAAATGTTGCCTTTTGGGCAGTCTCCTTAGTACTTGTTAGAACAGAGTTGATAGCCCTTATAGTAAGTAGGAACACAGAGGGACCTGCTTAATAGCAACATTAATGTTATAAGCTGGCAAGCAAAAAGGTAATCCACATGCTAAATAATTCCTTTACCACTTTATTGTTCTTAATTCCCTCTAATGGAGTATTTCCAGTTTAATCTATCACTTGTAAAAGCATTTACTTAATTTCATCATATTGGCACTGAACAAAATGTAAATATTTCTTCTTATCCCAATGTAGGATTATGGCTTTGTCAAAGTATCCAGTTGTGAAATCACATCACTACCTTCTTCCATCACCATCGGGAATATTGCTCCAGCCATAACAATGACAATTAACCTTACCAATGGACTGGAGGATTTTGTTACTCACTTTGGGAATGATGAGCATGTATCTTTATTTTGTTAACATGCTATGTAAGGAGACAAATAATGTCACTAGCCCATTTCCAGAGTGCTTTTTTCTTTTTTCTTTTAGAAGCGGGATGGCTTAGTGGTTTGAAGTGCTTGGTGGCTATCTAGGCTTGAAGTTAGGAAGATTGAGGCTTAAATCCTGCCTTTGACACTAGTTTTGTGACCCTGGACGGCCAAGTCATTTTACCTCAATGAACTTCAACAGCCCTCTAAGACATTTTCTAGGTCATAGAAGAGTTGTGAATTGCACAGGTGAAACAAGCCTTCATACCAGGAGTTTCCCCATAACGACCAAATCACAGATTAATTGTGTTATTTCTTTGCATTGTTTTTTTCTCTCATGATGCTAGTTTTTAATCTAAGCATATTAAAAAGATAGAATATGCTGCAGATAGTCCTTACTTTGGGGGGGTGCCCTATAATACATTCTTGGAGATTGTTATAAAACAGTTCATCATAGAGCAGACTATACTTTCTAGTAGGAACCATTATGCTAATGCCAGTTATAATTGGGAGATTAAACATCAGGAATAAATCAAGTAAGTCAATAAATCCTTCAAAATAAGGATACAGCCATAAATCAGTATACTCAATTAAAATAGTAAAAATATATCCCAACTCCTATAATAGGAACTTAATTAGATGGCTAGGTGGTACCTAGCACTGGACCTGGAGTCAGAAAGACCCAAGTTCCAACCTGGCCTCAGATATTTAACAGCTGTGTTACCCTGGGAAAGTCAATCAATTCTGTCTCAGTTTCCTCCTTTGTAAAATGGGGATAATAATAGCACCTACCTTCCAGGGTTGTTGAGAGGATTAAAAAAATGAGAAATTGCAAACCTTAAAGCATTATATAACTTCCAGTTGTTGTTAACATCATCATTATACTTACTGCCCACATTGATTATACAAGGCGCTCTGAGGTATAAAGGCTATAGCCAACACATAAAAAACAAAAATTTTGCTTTACAAATTTGACTTAAAGCTACAAAGCTACAGGAAACATTAATTCAGCCCTTAACTCATAGTAGCTTTGTTTAAATCCTTAGAATTTAGAAGGGCTTTTAGGAAAATGACTCATATCTCTTAAAAAAAAAGCTTAGAAAGAACAATATGACTAAATTGAATAGTGTTTAATTATAATAACAAAGATTAGCTTTAAGAAGTGGAAAGCATCCTTCTCTGGAAGCAAAAGTTCAATTCCTCTCTCTGGGCTGTGGCATCAGAGGACTCTGATTCAAATCTTATCCCTGATGCTTGCAGGGGTGATTTAGGGCAAATTGCTGGACCTCAGTTTCCCTATCTTTAATACAAGGGGATTAAAGTAGATAGCTTTTTTTAAAATATAAATTTATTTATTTTTAGCTTTCAACATTCACTCCCACAAGTTTTTGAATTCCAAATTTATACCCCATCTCCCCCCTCCTCCCTCCCACCCCAAGATGGCATGCATTCTGAATATCCCTTCCCCTAGTCTGTCCTCTCTTCTATCTCTCTCCCCTTCTCTTATCCTCTTCCTCTTCTATTTTCCTGTAGGGCAGGATAGACTTCTGTACCCCATTTCCTGTATTTCTTATTTCCCAGTAGCATGTGAAAACATTTTTTTAAATATATGTTTTTAAAACTTTAGGTTTCAAATTTTCTCTCTTCCTCCCTCCCCACCCACCCTCATTGAAAAGGCAAGCAACTCAATATAGGTTGTACATGTGCAGTTATGCAAAACATGTCCATAGTAGACATGTTGTGAAAAACTAACTCTATTTCCCTTAATCCTATCCTGCCCTCCCATTTATTCTGTTCTTTCTTTTGACCCTGTCCCTCCTCAGAAGTATTTACTTCTGATTACTCTCTTTCTCAGTCTGCCCTCCTCTCTATCATCCCCCTCCTCTCTTGTCCCCTTCTCCCACTATTTTCCTGTAGAGTAAGAGAGATTTCCATACCCAATTGAATGTGTTTGTTATTCCCTCCTTAAGCCAAATCCTATGAGAATAAGATTCACTCATTTTCTCTCGCCTTCCCCCATTTCCCCTCCACTGTAAGAGACTTTTCTTTCCTGTTTTTTTTTGTGAGATAGTTTACCCCATTCTACCTCTCCCTTTCTTCTTCTCCAAGTATAATCCTCTCTCATCCCTTAATTTTATTCTCCAGATATGACCCCTTAATCTTCAACTCTCCCTGTGCCCCCTATCTATCCATCTACATATACATGCATATAATTTTCTTCCTCCAACTACCCTAATACTGACAAAGGTCTCATGAGTTATAAATATCATCTTTCCATGCAGGAATGTAAACAGTTCAATCTTAATAAGTCTCTTATGATTTCTCTTTCCTGTTTACCTCTTCATGTTCCACTTGAGTCCTGTATTTGAAAGTCAAATTTTCTATTCAGCTCTGGTCTTTTCATCAAGAATGCTTAAAAGTCCTCTATTTCACTGAATGACCATTTTTTCCCCTGAAGGATTATACTCAGTTTTGCTGGGTAGGTGATTCTTGGTTGTAATCCTATCTCCTTTGCCCTCCAGAATATTATATTCCATGCCCTGCGGTCCTTTAATGTAGAAGCTGCTAAATCTTGTGTTATCCTGATTGTGTTTCCACAGTACTATTTCCTTCTGGCAGCTTGTAATATTTTCTCCTTGACCTGGGAACTCTGGAATTTGGCTACAATATTCCTAGGAGTTTTCCTTTGGGGATCTCTTTCAGGAGGATATCTGTGGATTCTTTCAGTTTCTATTTTGCCCTCTGGTTCTAATATATCAGGGCAGTTTTCCTTGATAATTTCTTGAAAGATGGTGTCTAGGCTCTTTTTTTTGATCATGGCTTTCAGATAGTCCAATAATTTTTAAATTCTCTCTCCTGGATCTATTTTCCAGGTCAGTTGTTTTTCCAATGAGATATTTCACATTGTTTTCTAATTTTTCATTCTTTTGGATTTGTTTTACATTGTCTTGATTTCTCATAAAGTCACTGTCTTCCAGTTGCTCTATTCTAATTTTTAAGGAAGTACTTTCTTCAGTAAGCTTTTGGACTTCCTTTTCCATTTGGGCAATTTTTCTTTTTAGGGCATTCTTCTCCTCATTGGCTTTTTGGACCTCTTTTGCCATTTGGGTTAGGCTATTTTTTAAGGTGTTATTTTCTTCAGTATTTTTTTGGGTCTTCTTTAGCAGGCTGTTGACTTGTTTTTCATGATTTTCTTGCATCACTCTCAGTTTTTCTTCTACTTCCCTTACTTGCTTCTCAAAATCCCTTTTGAGCTCTTCCAAGGCCTGGGACTGATTCATATTTTTCTTGGAGGCTTTGGATGTAGGAGCTTTGACTTTGTTGTCTTCTTCTGGTTGTATATTTTGATCTTCTTTGTCACCAAAGTAAGGTTCTATGGTCTGACTCTTCCTTGCACTGCTTGCTCATGATCCCAGCCAATTACTTGAGTTTTAAACTCTTTGTTAAGGTAAGACTCTGCTTCCAATGTGGAGAATGTATTGTCCCAAGCTTCAGGGGTTTGTGTAGCTGTTTTCAGAGATACTCGTAGGGACCTGTAAATTTTCAGTTCTTCCAAGGTGGTATGACAAGGGGCGAGGTGTTTTCTCCTTTCCTGGCCTGTGACCACAAGTATTCCTTTCTGTCCTGTAACTGTGAGGAAGGGTTCCTCTCCACAGCCACTCCAAGATCTACCACGCCAGCGTTCCTCTTCACCCCAGCACTGCCGCGCAGAACTGTGACCCAGATCCAAACAGGGGCAAAGCAAGAGATTCCTGCCTCAGCACTGGCAAAGAGATCCCTGCAGTCCCTCTCTGATCAGCCACTGGATTCCCCCTCAGTCTGTGGGCCGGAAGCTCGGGAAGCAGCTGCCCCCCCCCCCCAGGGCCACACTCTTGGGAAATAGAGCTGAAACCCCACCTTCCTGTCACAGCACCGACAGAAACAGACTTTTCCCACTGACCTTCTAAGTTGTCTTTGGCATTGGTGGATTGAGGAGTCTGAAAAACCTCCACAGCTGCCCACGATTCAGTCCTCTGAGGTTCGCTGTGGCTTGCGCGCCCACACCGCGCTGTGCTGCGCTCCCAGCCTGGCGCGATACATCTGAATCATCCAGGTTGTCTTGGGCTGGAAATTTGTTTCACTCTGTCTTTTTGTGGGTTCTGCTGCTTCAGAATTTGTTTAGAGCCATTTTTTATGAGTATTTGGAGGGGTTTGGAGGAGAGCTCAAGCAAGTCACTGCTTTCACTCTGCCATTTGGCTCCGCCTAAAGTAGATAGCTTTTGAGATCCTTTCCAGATTTAGTTCCATAATCCTATGACCTCCTTCTCTTCTTTAGAGAAGTGGGAGACCATAGGTGTGGAAGGAGTGTGATTTTGCTGAATTGTTTTTGGTATTTAAATTTTTTTTAATTATAAGGGAAGCTCACTGGATCAGGGATTGGGGGCATATGAAGGAATGAATATGATTCAAAAGCAAAAGGCAGTAATAAAAAAGGGCTACCTAGGGAAGTCTGAACTGATATCTTCTTTTTCTCACAAATTTTCGTGTATTAAATACAAGCACTCAAAGTTATTTCTTTTTTTAAAAAAAGTGAGGAAGAAGGTGGAATAAGGCAGGAAATTCCCCCACAAACAATATAAAATGACTCCTCAAAATGAACTTTGAGTGGCAAGAAATAATTAAAAGTGGGGTAAAGCAATTGTTTGCCTATGACAATTTGGGGGGATGTCAGTGTGGTGGTTTGACCTGATTGAAGTGCAAATACCTCCAGGCAGATACCGCCAAATCAACAAACAACAAGCTCTGAGGACAGGTGGTGTTGGCAGCCTTAGCTTCAGACACTTTCACATCCCAGATAAGGTGGGGATCAGACAGCTGATCAGGTGAAGATTTCAGGATCCTCTGCCGGTGCTGGACCCAGGTACACTGACCTGACATGTCCCGGGCTGTGGTTGTGGATGTGAGTACACACAGGGTAAGTGTGGTTGCAG